ACTGTGCTTTGGCTGTCGTTGGGTTCAGATTATAGTCGGTCAACGACTTCCTGTCGTCCATCACCTCCTCGTCTTTGAACAGTCTTTGATTCTCTGGAAGTGTTTTCGTAATTCCGGCGATCATTCTTTTCAAGTCGATCACAGAAGTGGTCTCTTTGGCGTCCAAGAAGACCGTCATCTTCTTCCGTCTGATCATCAGAAACACGTCCTAAACGTCACAATACAAGACAATTACAAACACACGCCATAAGAGGCTAACCAGAGATCAATTGCCGTCCATTTGATGGCAATTCGTGTCATAAATGTCATCAAAATTGAGACAAAAAGAAATGTTTATTGTTTACAACAAAACTGTTTTGTCATTCAATGAGACTCAACACAACCGCAAGAGTGGACACGAATGGCACCGAAATGGACGGCAAATGGTTTACAAGACATACCATTATATGAATGAGTGATCGATTGAACCAAAAATAAATTGTTTTACAAAATCAAAACTAAACGCAAAAAACCATTTGATTTAATCAATCATTGGATTGAATGCCCGTTCAGTCCTCAACTCAATTGGTTTCCATAGAAACCAACACTAAATGCTCTCCAACTCTGTGTTTGTGCGCCAAATATAAAAACCATTATATCATACACTTTACTATAATATATGCTTAATCATTAAGTTAATCATTAATTATATTCATATGATTTACATTATGTCAATTACATTTGCTTTTTACCATCATCATCACATTATCAACATCTAGCTCAACATTTCTATATAATATATCGCAACACTATGTAATAATGCGATCGTATAGTGTATGACAAAGTCATTATTTTGAAGTTCAATTTATACCATATTATCGGTCATTGAATCGTTTAGATGTATTGAAATCAATTGAAATTAGTTTGCATTAAAATGAAGGAGTTATCTATGAATTGATATACTGTAGGCAGCAATTCATTAGTTGCCATTTAATCTAGTGTTTAGTGGCGGAACCACTTATACTGCATAATCGTTGATATTATTAAAATTATTAAAACTAATTTGTGTTCAATTGTGTTGTAATGTAGTTTTTATCGTCACTAATACCAATACAATGGTATCTAGAACTTTGTGGCCGATTCTAACCATTATTTCCAACTTCTATTCCAACAGCGAAAACTTCAATAGTAATGATATGTGAATATATTTTTATCAATTATTAGGAAATAAATATAATTAAAAGTTGTAATTCATTGCCAAAGCATATCTAATTAGATTATAAATCAATTGAAAAAGTGCAATAATATTACTATTAGAAACCATTTATTAACTATATTGTAACAAGCTATATTAATAAAAATATAACAGTAATATAACTTCCAAGTAATACAAATTGTTTGTAAACAACCAAATTCTTTAGCTTATTATAAACATGTAATTCCATATAATTCTATATAAATTAAGACAGTTATTCAAATTGTATTACATTGACTAAAATCCATTTATTCCTACATATGTTATGCAATATTATATTTATTAATAAATAAACATTTATTTAATTAAATAAAATCCAAATTGTAAAAACTGCGGCAAATAAATCAAATTATAACATCGTTGGTAAACTGACTCCACGTATGGAACATGTAATAGTAAGCCATCAATTTGGGTAACAATTTGTATATTAGTTTGACTCGGATTCGGATTCAGAAGAACTAGAACTCTCTTTATGCCTCTTCAGCAGACGAAACACTTTCTGGTAATGCTTTTCGGGTAGAGTTAGGATTCGCAACGAATTCATGTGAATCTCGAGTGTCTGCAACTGTTGCAGGCGTTCCAGAATAGTGTCCACTGAATTGAACAGCACTTTTGGGGTTTCAATAATGTGTTGACTCTTGAATCCTTGCGAGAATAGAAACGACAACTTCTCAAACAATTTCTTGGAACTGATGTGAAGTATCTGCGGATACCGTCTCAACATGAAGTGAATAATACTTTGGTCACACTCTAACTCATTGGCCATATATTCTATATTATTATCATAGCCTTCAAGTATTTTCTTGTTGTCGATGTGTCGTTGAAGGCATGTGTTGAACGACTCGTCGGTCACTCTCAACATCCATGTCTTCACTTGCATCTCGTGTTTCAAGCAGTCGTCCACTCGTTTCTTCATTGTATCCAAACTATAGGT